TTTAAAACATGCACAGTCCACAATGTACATGTACATGTGCATGCACGTACGTTGTACATATCGTATGTCAGTCAGCCCGCGCGCAGCGCACGTGTTGCTGAGGTCAAATCCTGTCCACAGTGACCGTTTTAGCCGATTTCCGGCTAACTTTGACAGATTTTATGTTCATGCATAGTCAGGGACGTAGGATAGACACTTTTTGTATAGAATACGCATGTACTGTACATGTTCATTTGACCTGGATGAAACTCCTTTACGGCAGTCATTAATAAGACGGTCGAAACAGCTCAGTGTTTGTCCACAAACACATTTCTAGTTTTTTATTTTTTTTTTGGTTGGATTCTAGATGCTCTGTGCATGGTGCGATCTGAAGCAATGTCAGTCCACTTTACACATTAGAAAAGAGGGTGGTGTATTCATTATCTGCCTTTATTGAAACGTCACTTTAAAAACGAATGGTTCGTTTGTGTTGTCGTTTCTTTTCGGGGGGGGGGGGGTGGGCCCCTTTGGCCCCCTGGATTTGCCCTTGGTCACATCCGCCCGTCACCATTTGGAACATTATGGAAAACACCTGTTAAGCGTATGTGGATTACTGTGCGACATAGACATATAACAAGCCTTCCAGAAACTAGAGCCTTGTTGTTACATAACTTTAAATTTAAGTGTTATGACGCAAATTAATTCGTAAGAATTAACAAGGGTAGTAAAACAAACAAAAAAACATTATCTGTACAAACGATCGTAAACTGTATAAAATTAATTGACGAGACACGCCTTTTCACAATTATTTGTCCTTTTCCTTCATTGCCTACAATCTAAGGATATTCAATCCATTCTAGATTAACTGTAAGTGTGTAGCAACGAGGAGAATGCTGTATAGTACAGAACAATGCAATATTATTGTCAGACACAGACAATTAATTTACAATTTACTGCTTACTTCTTTTGTAAGCATTATAACTTTAAATCAATACACAAAATGTACATTATTTTGCTATTATTTGGGTTGAAATTGTTTTTTTTTTATAAAATCAACTCAGTCATCTTTTATCAGTCGATATAAATCTGCATATAATTCATGCAGTAGCGTTTTGAATACTGATTTCAACTATTATTTTGTTGATATTTTACATGAATTTACATATACTTTACAATTTACGAAAATAGACAAACATTTACAGATTCCAGCACTTACAAAATTATGGGCTACAAGCCAGTCTTCAGATCTTTTAAAAATGCAAAATTGTTTGGCTTTTTTGTTGGATTGATTCAATTTCCATTTAATTTCTTTTGCAAAATATACTGGATTGCATTAACTAAGATTGCATACATGAAGTTTCAAATAGTTATTTACAACCTTACATTTGTTTGTTTTTTCCTGGGACGCAGTTTCAATCTGCAAGTTCAAATTTTGTAGTTCATTTAAAAACCATGCATTAAAGAAATAACAATTGATACTTGTATCAATCGCTTGGCATGTACAATGACTGTTAGCAATTCCAGGGGCCGCCGCACCTTGTTGCCTGCGTTATCGTAAAAAAAACTGTGGTAAATAACTGTGGTCATTACAAATTAATTCTCGTACGAAATTGGTTAAAAGTTCACACTGATAGTTAAACTTCACTGGTTCACACTGTGCCCGGATACGGACCCAAATATAGCAACCAATGCAAGACGAGAATTTATCTCAACACGGACTCTGCCACAGTAAACACGAGATCTGCAGATAATAGAGACTTTACTTGTGATAAGAAAAATCAAGAAATTTTACTCCATTTTATGTAAACAATTAATACGCCTTTGTACATTTTGATGCGTTTCAACAGATTTAAACCTGCTCTAAACGGCAAAATATAAATTACAACTTTTCTTCAAAGAAGGTTCATTTAAAAGTGATAACAAGAAGTCGCTAAAGTTAAAATTGCAATCGGACTAAAGTGACTCCTTCAGCAGTTAGGGTTGCCGGGTCCTTTACATTATCTCATAAGAGGCATTTTCAACCAATTTAAAACAAGTTGCACAGTTTTACATGCAACAAGCAATTTGCGAGTTAAATTTGAATAAAATCTGGAACGCTGGCTTAATACAAAGCTTTGCACGGTTTAACTTTGAACTCTCCCGACCAAAGAGACAATTACTATATCACGTTATTCGGGGCAAGCCTTATAATAGCAACCCCCAGCTCCGGCATGGTCTGTTGTCTTTGCGCCATTGTCACCCATTGTGAACAATGTATAGGTGTTGAGCGTCTCTTATATACGTAACTATGGAAGAGCTTGCCCTGAATCATGTGATTCGCAACAGTGTCTTTGGTCTGGAGAATTCAAAGTTAAAATGTGCCAAGCATTCTGAGCAAGTCAGTGTACCAGAGGTCTTTCAAATGTAAATCCCAAAGGGTATAGGTTACTCGCAAATGGCTTATTGGTCCCCAACCATGGCAGATCGGTGAATTTGGAAAACGATATTCTGCCTATTGTCTCTAAAGCAAGTCTTGTCAGGACCGAAACATCAGGTCTGCTTATTTTGTTGACTTGAATTTCAGGTCAATCAAGTCAGGAAGCTATGTGCAAGAGTTTATTTTATTTAGTAACACATTAAACTATAAACTGGCAGCATGCCAGAATAGTTAAATTTCCATGATATGTTAGTATGGTGAACTGTTTACATCCACTACATGTTAATCCACTACATGTTAAGACAAAATATAAAATGTGGCACCATGGACTCTGTGCATGTACAAGAGATGTATTTTTTTTCTGCATCTCCACAAATCGGCATGCGGCAACGTCTTCGCATGAGCGAGAGACGACGTCAGCAAATACGTCACACGTGAAATGTTGAACTGAATGGATTCAATTAAAGTGTTAATACAAAGGGTTCTGGGTTCGTAACAATACCAAAGACATAAAAGTCTGACCAGCGTAAAATTTTCCGGCGCTACGCACCGTAAAAACTGAATTTCCCCAATACGTATGTACAAAAAACAGAATTACCACTCAGGCATATGGATGATTAATTAGCCATAATTCAAAAAATGTTTACCTATAATCATGAAACTTCTATAGTATGTTCATGATAAGTTGTTCTATGCATGTATTAAGTTTCATAATTTTCGTCACTTGATGGCCGAAATCTGGGGGGGGGGGGCATTTTAGGGTTAATATCCTCACTTTGCTGAAACCCGAATTAAATTACTTGGATGCAAATTTAATTTACACCGGTCGCTTATGGGTTTTATATTCAACACATAAGAACATAAAGTCTATAGTCTTTCATTATAATTTGTTATAGGTATAAGTGTGCTTAATACAAATAGCACTTTTTGATACTCATCCTTTAAAATGTTAATACAAAGGGTTCATATTTATCAACTGTGTAACAGTTTGGAAGTCATTTCCACAGTCAGGCATTTTTTTTTAATTTTTGGTCACAAGCCATCCCCCACTTGCCTACATCGATATAAGCCACTGTAGAGTTTTAATTCCACTAGGCTTTACCTCATTCTTCGAACAGTTACAGTAAAAAAAATACGTTTCAGTAAAATATACGTTATGTGTAACTGAAGAGGCGATTTAATAATAAAAAAATGATTTCTGAACCCTAAAAGGGCCGGGGGCGGAATCCACCCCCTCCCTCGACTTTTTTCCGCGATAGCCTTGAAAAAAAAATATCGCGACCCGAGCTGTAATGACTTTTTAGCCTCAAGCCTTGCGCATCATTTGATACCAAAAACATAAAAATGGGAAAAATTTTCCGGGGCTACGCGCCGTGAAAACTGAATTTTCCCATGGTGTACACAGAGCAGAATTACCATTCGTACACATGAATAATTAATTAGCCATTATTCCAAAACCCTTTACCCTTTGACCTATAGTCATGAAATTTCTTCGGTATGTTTATGATGAGTTGCTCTATGCATGTACTGAGTTTCAAAATTTTTCGTCACTCGATGGCCGAGATTTTAAGGGGTATCCGCCCCCCCCCCCCCCCGGCTGAGAGATGGTCAAAATAACCCAGCCCTTTTAGGGTTAAAGAGATCGGAAGAACGATCCGTATCCGACTTTTATGATTTAGATCCGTAAATGTTTTCTCTCCTCCTCAATTGTAGATTCCTTGTAAGTTTGTCCGGTTGTAAAATGTTATCATAATAATCATTCCAATCCCCTATTGTACAGTATCTCTGATGTTTCGTAGACGTCTCTTGACATTCTTTGTTATTGTAGTGGCGAACGACAGTAAGTCTATAGCAAGTTTAACCATTACAATTTCCGGTATTTTAGAATGTACAAAAATAAGTGAATTGCATCTGTTATCGTCAAAAGAAATTTGGAAAAGATTCAGTAAAGCCTGCCATGTACCTTTCCGGTTTTACCGGTTCACGGCATCAGTGAGAACGAGAAGTATTTATGAAGACGTGGTCACGTGGAAGATTTCTTTTGCTGGGTGATAATGTCTTTAACAATATTTTGGACACGTTTCCTAATTCTCTTTCCTTAAATTATCTTCATGTCATCCAACTTATAAACATTATGTACGACGCGTTTTTAGCCACCCGATTGAGGCCTTCGTCAAACGTGGTGCTTCTGCCGTGTCGAATGCAATTATTAGTTTATCAATTTCGCACTTGGGAGGGACACTGAACAGAGAGCTGGTCAGACAAACCTTTGGTCAACCCCTTTCTGTGGGCTCAGTAAAAAAAAAATGTAAACAAAATTACATAACAACGTACAGATGCAAGTAATATTGCTGGTCATATGAAAACCACTTCTGCGTATAAAAGACCAACTGCAAAATGTCTGCATCCCCCACTCCCAGCTGCCGTAACTGGAACCTATCCACCTCCCTACCCCCGCCACACTGCAACCAGCCCCGACGCCACAACCTTTGTATTCCATTACATTACATAAACAAAACCTTTGAATTTACGGGAAATCGGTGTTGAAATTACGGTCACCGTGATAATAGGAAACACGTAACTGACTGTAATTGTATTAGTTTTGTTAGCAAACCTGTTTCACAATAAAAATCAGCGGCGTATCGAGCTTTTAATGTAGTGTGGGGGCGGGGAATCAACTCTAGTGTAAAGGTTTTAAAGAAAAAATGGGGGGGGCTTGGATTTCTTTTTTGTCTTTCATGTGAGACTCTTCTATACCAAATATGGAAAAATTATTAAATTAAAAAAAAAATATGCCAGGTAAGGGTTGAAAGGAGCCCCCCCCCCCCCCCCCCCCCCCACGCTGGATACGCAACTGGTAAATTTAAAGTGAACTTACGGGCAAAATTTCACACTGCATGCAAATAATATTTTTCCGTTTCATTTAGTGGAATTTTGCTAACCACTTTATTAAATATCCGGCTCTTTATACCTGACCAATCCGGAGACATGTACTCTCTTACCGTTTCCGGAATCGTAGAACCACTCTTAGTAAGCGCTTGGGCAATTTCGGTGTGCAGATTTTGCAATTTTTCGGCCGCAAGGCCGGAGTTAACCACCAACTCGTATGTGTAAGTTGTAGAACTTCTTGCTTCGATAGCTTTAATGGCCTGGATCAAATCCCCCCTCATTTCAATTGGAATACCTGACGTGTCCGGTGTTAGTAACCCTTTACACAAGCGATTGCATTTGTGATCTAGGAAGAACTTCATCACGCCGTACACCCCGAGATCGGCAGGGCCGTAGTAGCCGAACTTCTTCCCATGTTTCTCCATGCTATGGACTGATGGATCGGTGAAGACGTAGCTTTTCCCGTTGTAAACTCCTTGTAAGTCCATCACTAGAATCTCGCCCTCTGATTCATGGTACGTGAAGTGGGAGAAGGCTTCTGGAACAAGGGTATCCACGTCGGGGTTGACGTAAGAAGAATTGCTTAAGAAGTGGACGTACCGTCCCGGAAGTAAACGCTCAATTGCTACTGAGGCACCCTCAGGGACCATCACATCGGCTTTCGCTGTACGTCCAATATGGGTTCCGCGAATCGTTTTAGGAACAGGGTCTCCTACTAGCTGCTTGTGAGCAGCAAACGTCTTGACTTGGGAGATGGTAGGAGTGAGAACCTCTACCCTTGCAGAGCTTTTACCGCTGTAGTGGACGTTAAACGCCACAGATGTTTCTTGTGCTTTCAAGGAGGCGCGATTGTCCGCTTTCCAAGCGTCTTCTTTCAATCTGGCAGAGTACTTCTCTTTGTACAGTTTTACGACGCATCGCTCACTGCGTTTGAACCATCCCATACTGACGGAGTTTATTTTACCTCGATAGGCGTATCTGGAAGCTCCTTCGGCAAACCAGTCGTCATCAAATTTCGCATACTTTTCTACACCGTTCTCGGTAAAGGGCTCAGATGAGTGGCTTTGAGAATTCCCCATTTTGCACTAGACACACTCACCTGAAACCAAAACAGGCAAGCCTAAGTAAAGCTAATCCCATCCATTTCATTGTGTTCATTCAAAATTGATACAGTCTTTTTATACATCTTGTGTATAAACCATGGAGCAGCGGGAGCTCACTACGCAGGGTATACACCACAGCTTCGCACGTATCTCTTCACCAGCCAACAATCAGGCCAATTCACAAATGACAGTAGTCAGTCAGTAACATTTATCACGAACCATGTCTGCATATAGGCCTAATGACCAAAATTGTGCAAACTGTGTATGACTCAAATACGCAATTACATAGTTCCCCTTAGAAGAGGCCTAGCTAATAAGATAATTTTTACTTACGAAATGTACATGCGAATAACTTTGCACCTCCAAAGATCTGTCCGCGCCAACTTTCAAAACCAAACCCAGACACTTGCACCATCTAGTCGTGTACTATTCCACCGTCAGCTTGCCTGTGGATGTGTAATGCGGCAGGTGGGCGTTATAGGCTTCTAAAAATATAGATCTGACATCATGATCCTACGGGGATTCCCAAGCCACTGTTCCGACACAGAGGTTGTTTTATCAGCGACAACATGCTATAGGCATAGCAGGTTGACAGTATAAACAATAGCGAGCGGATCATTTGGGTGCACACTGGTAAATCGATCCGGCAAGCTCATGAATAAAAGTTATACCCTCAAAATATTCTATATTAGAGAGTTCTGAGCGCCGTAAAATTGGGGAATTGAAGAGATATGGTAATGAACCTCTGGCCCGGACTTGGGGCTTCAAATTCTGAGCATTTTGGATGCTATTGGGCTCGAAAGTGGCGCTATTTTGCCATGTTGTGGAGGGATCGTTTTTCAAGATGGCTACTTTTCCGCTTTGCGGAAAATATGGGTCGTCTTCTTTGGGTGAAAATATCTCGAAAAGTCAATGGTCAACCCACAAAAAAAATTGAAAAGAAAACGAAAGATGACATGTTGATTATCATTTTTCTGTGCAGCTTGAATACCTGTGAGAGTTTTGAGTATTTTTAAAAGAATTTTAAAGTATGTGCATTTAGCACTAGTGTCTATGTGAGTTTATTTGCAGGTATGCATCCATTTGGGGATCGTGTCGTGGTCGCGTCATCATGTGCGCGGACCTGATTGCATAGATGTACTTAGTGCGCATTCTGCACCTTTTTTGTGAAAACATTCAGGATTTTAGCAGAAAGTACACACGATGCAACAAGCGCGTGTTCAACTTCCTGTCAGCTTTTTGTGTATGTCCCATATAAAACAAGGGACCCAAAAATGGACCGTATTTGCCTGCAGAAGTATTGCATGCGCATTTATTTCATTTTCGGGGGAGAATTTACAAGATTCTAAATGGCCTAAGACATTGTGGTCAGATTGTGCTTCACTTGGCCGACAGTGGTTCGTTTTGATTACGCCCTCTTGTAGTGGGTAATCCATATCGAGTATCCCATATATAATTTTAAAAACAAGTGTACAAAGCTCAATACTAACGGCGTGCCTCATCAATCCATGTGCAGTATATCATGCACCATGCGCCCTCTTGTGGGCTCCGGGCGCGAAGGTGTTTGTCTTGTTGTTCGGCCATGGTTCAAAGGCTGAGAACCAGGGGCGTCAATCGCTTCTCCAAAGTGGGGGGGGGGGGGGAGGACAGCCCTTACGGCGTGTGGTTCGGAGCCCGCTTAAGGGCCCCGAAAAAAATTGATTCTAGATGGTATGTGTTGCGATCTAATGCAATTTCTGACCACTTTAACCAATAATTTTCTTAGCAAAAAATAATAATTAGAACATAACTTTCGGGGTTTTCTTAGCCAAAGGCATATGGTTTGGAGCCCGCTTAAGGGCCCCGGGAAGAAAATGGATTCTAAACGCTACATTGTAGTACATAATAGGGCCATGTAAACGAGACACGAGTTCAAAAAGCTGGGGGACATTTGATATTGTGTCCCCCACCCTTCAAAAAGTGGGGGGACATGTCCCCCCCCCCCCCCCCCCCCCCCATTGCCATGGGCCTCAAACGTCGTAATTTAGTGTGGAAAAAACTCTACTGTTTAGATTGAAATGCATGGGGGAAATCAATTGAGTGAAAACTCGATCTATATTCGACAGAACTCTAAATCATCAGGTCACTAGTTTTAGTCGTTGTAAGTCAATCATTACCCGAATATAGTGAATGTTCACTCTTTGAAAATAAGAGAGAGAAGGAGAAAAGCATTTTGTATTGCAAACAATAAAAGATTATTGCTCCTTTAAATGATTGTCAAAGTCAAAAAGTTTTCTTACTGATCAAGTTGTTCAAGTCTCCAACGTTAGACAACCCTTCACCTACTTTTTAGCTAAATTTACAGACACTCGTGTTTTCCTTGTTTTTGTTTGGTGGGCCAAATAACACAATGTTATCACTGTTCACATGATTTTCAATAAAGTTTCAACAGAGTTCCTGTGCCAGTAAGCAACTTGGTGAATTTGAAGCTCATCAATACTGAGGTTTGGCAAGACTACTTGATGATATCTGGAGACAAGGTGAATGCGTGCAAATTTAGAGTATATGCATGTAGTAGCCATTTTGGATCGTTACTATGGCCTCCTAATAAATATTCAGTCACTTATATGCTTTAGAAAATGCTAAGGATGTGTAAGTAGAAGCAAATGACGATATCACCCTAGCCTCGTTCTGAAGTTGCTAACATCTCAGCCTCGTTCTAAAATTGCTATGAAAACAGTATCGCCAATCGATAGCGTATGCCAACGCACGGACTGCGATCATCGTAATCATTGAATTCAGTATTTTTAACACTCCCTTGACAGATTGCTTGAAACAAGGCAGATCAAAATGCAATTGATTTTTATGGCGTATTTTGGTTGATACTTTTTGATTTTGTTGACGTAGCTTGACAAAAACATGTCCCCTTCCAGACTCGAAATATAACCGCACGCGACCATACGGATGCACTATACGGGCTTGTACAATTTCGCGTGCACATGACTCAGATAGTCCCTCGGATGAGGCCGTTTAATCGCAAAATTTTCTGATTAATCTTAAGAATGTTTTTCTGTTGTAGTATACCTTGGGACATCCGAAAATGGTGTTTTTAAGTTGCACAACCGGTTGTTTTGCATTCCGGTTACACAAACTGTTATTTTTAAAGCTCATTTTTTTGAAAAACAGATAAAATCATATTTTCGGACATAATTGCTCTCTCTAAAAATTGTCACTCCGTTTCGGGGGGAGGCCGCAGGGGGTGTCTTCCACCCCCGCAGTAGGTGGAGGAGTCAGTGTTACATTTTGCATCTCCTTAGAAACGTTTTGATTAAATTTTTTGTTTGATCATGACAAAGTATTTCACATTAAACTTGACATCATCTGCCAGCCGAAACAACAAACGCTTAAACTTGTATTTAAATATCCATACCTTTGTTGGCTCCTAAATATGCCGTAACTTTGATGTAACTTTAATTTACACTGGTCGTTTTGGGATTTTTAAATCAACAAGTTAGGTTACAATAGAAACAATTAATTATAATGCAATTCATTTAATAAATAATAGGCTTGAAAAGCATTGACAAAATCGCGTAAACTCATATTTCTTTGGTAATGATCACATGTTTGTGTAGGGTGTTTTTATCTTTCCAAAGTTACAAATATAAACTTGTGTGCTTAAAACAAAATCAGGTGCCTGTAATATCAGTTGATAAAACCACTACATGTCTATCGGGCCCCAGATTTTGAAAGGTGAAAAAACTTTATTAGTTTTTTTAAGGTAAAATATAGTTTTTGGTTACACGATAAGCTGTATGTAAATAAAAAGATTTCGAGTACGTTGCTTATCAGACCAAAGTTCATTATTAATTACAGATGCGCCTAAAAATACTTGTGTACATATAGAATAACGTGACTGCAATTATTGGGAGATTTTATTGGGTCTTTTTTTTTAAAGTAAAAATAGGTTGTAGGGGAAATACAGTTTTTTTGGTTATAAAATAAGGTGTATGTAAAAAATTGGTGATTGGAGTTTGTTTGTTAGTCCAAAAATAAAAACAAATGGGCATTTATTCGCCCAATATTGTTTTACAGGGCATGGGGATTCCCAAGCCTATAGTGTTTCAAAATTTATCGTTTATTTTTGCCTGCAGAATTAGCGCATGTGCACTACTTTTCCTCTTTTCACGGGGGGGGGGGGAATTTACAAGATTTCCCGCAATAGGCCCTATATTGTTGTTTGTTATAATAGCGATGCATGTGGCTGATGGCGGTTTGTTTTTTTGTCTCAAATTCTCCAACTTCCAAAGAGACAATAATTGTGCAAATAACTCCAAAATAGTCTGGAAAAAATCGATCTCGTGGGAATTCAAGGGAAAACTCGATCCATTCAATTGAACGAATTTCGCTCTAAATCGTTGGGTGCTTTACTCTTAAATCTTTACTCGGAAAGGCCTATATATTAAGCAAACCTGCTGTAGACCTAATTGCAGACTGATTTAAAGAATGATCAGGCACCAGGCTATACTTATTACAGGTAACTCATTACAATGTACAAGATTAATGAACATGCAAATAATCCAAGATGAGAGGACAGCTAGTGGGAGCGTGCAGCTCGACGCCATGGGAACGGGGTTGGCCAAACTGGTAAATGATATACATTGACCAGTTCATGTAAGCTATGCTGCCCCGTCACGTGCTAATCACATGGGGATTTTATTGGAAAATTATACATTTTCATCATGACATTGTTTTACTGGGCATGATATGAGACGCATACAATTTCTTTGGATGCCCCTCGAATTAAACTATACGCTCAGAGTGTCAATCAAGTTGAAGCAATAAATGAAGGGACCGTTACTACGGCGTTGGCCTAATGATAAACCAACTGGAAGTGCGCGTACATGGGATATGGAATAACCCCATACAATCTGGCTCAAACACATGTAGCAATGCATGCGAAACTTCTAATTGAAAAATAAATCGGAGACCGGTTTACG